GAAAAAAAAAAGTGGAATTGGGGAGGAAAAGGGTTTCGAAATGATGATTATGATTATTAATGCCTGACTCTGGGTGTGTTCTTTTGTGTTTTGTTTATCATTATTATTTTTTTGTTGTTGTTTATTATTGTTGTTATTATGATTGTTATTGTCGTTATTAATAGTATTATTGTTATTATTATTATTTTTTTTTCCAGGACCACAATGAAAAACATTTCTTTAAAATGATTGTGTCATCCTGGCTAAAGATATTAGTAAATAAATATTTGTTCATTAATCATAAAGAAACAAATTTCATTGTTCACTTGTTTGATCAATGACAATAAAGTATTCTTGATAATCTCTTTCCAATGTGACTTTAAGAAGAAAAAAATAAAATGTTCAGTTCCGGTCCCGTTTTCTATTTTCCATTTTTGTTGCAATCTTATACTTATTCAATGTTTGCCTCTATTATTTGCTCGTTCATTTAACACACTTAATGATGTATATTGTTATATCGGTCATTTTAATTGAAAAAAAAAATTCACTTGTATTAATTTTTACTGTTTCTATTTGTTTTAAATATAAAATACCACTAGAATTAAGGACTGAATATAGACTGATGAATTACATATAGGCTATATTGAAATAAAGTAAAGCGGCCCCGGACTCTCAATCGTTCCAGTCGCGTGTGCAGTTCAACTGTCAACGAGTGCGTTACACAACGTTGTGTGATGAACAGAATGTCTCATTAATAACCGCACGCAGTTAATAGTACTGTATTTATTAATTATTCATGACGTCATCTTAGAGTGGATATTGAACCGAAAGTCTCTTACTGATTCTAAATTTATTGGCACAGCTTGTGAATATTTCTACGGCTTTTAACGTCATAGGAATGCATACTTATTCAATATTCCGTTCATTCTTTAAAACATGAACTGACAGGTGAATGCCATCATTTATGTTTTACAATTGAATACTTTTGATGCTACGGTAATTCACCATTCAAGAAATAATAAAAGGCGAAATAATCAAGTGCTATAATATTGAAGTTTCCACATGGGGGGTTAGGAATGCCATTGTGTTACATAAACAATAGCATGCCGAATGTCCACTGGTTGCTGACCGGTGATACCCGGTAGCCGTAGTAGGCCTAGCTATTAATTTCGAGTTTCATGTTTTATATTTTCACATCACATGTACAAGAGAGAAAAAATTTCAGGCGCGGAACCAGACCTTCGCACCGTTCGTCTTAGCGAAGGTCAGGGTGAGAGATAAAAAAAAAATGACTGCAACTTATGAAGAGCAGGACCTGACCAATAAGCCTATTAATCGTATGTTACTGAGGTAAATAGGTTATTTTATAATTATCTAAGAAATAGTAAAATAATAATAAATCATCTTTTTTCAAAACGTTCACTTTTTTTTTGTAAATAGCAATGTTCTTACGAAGCCAGATATGCCGGTAACACATTCAAATTCC